ATGCCCCCCAAGCAACCCTTTCGAAGAGGAGAGGGGGCACAGTCATTCCCCTGTGTCCCACCCCAAGCCACAGGACTGGGCAAGCAACCCTTCTCTGCTCATGCTGGCACAAAGGGTGGTGCATCCTTGGAGATGGAGGTGGCCTTGATGCTGTCTGTTCACTGTCTGACCAAGGCTCCAACACCTCCCTTCAGGTTGGGAGTGTCAGGTGGGCCAAGCCAAGTGGCTCTCCCTTGACGCTTGTGACATCTGATGCTACCGAGGCAAGGATTTCTCCCGACAGCCTGCTCAGACTCTCCTCAGCATCCAGCTCAACACTGTCTAAGCTACTGGGCTTAGGTTCCACACTGCCACCCCATTCCTCCTTGCGTCTGACCTGCCTGGCCAAGATGTCTCCCTGTGACTCATGGCCCAACCCCTGATGTAGAGAAGATACGGTCATGGATCCCAGGGAACTTGAACTGCCAACAGGCATCCCAGGCCTGAAGTTGGGCTGTGTGGTCCTTTGACATTTCCCTTTCTAGGATTCTTTAAAATGGGTGATGGGACCTGTGGTCCTTCTCCAGCTGTTGTTCAGCACCAACCTCAAGAAGCCAGCAATGCTAATGGTCATGGATGATGGGAGTTGGGAGTCCAGCAATGTCTGAAGAGCCAATTTACAGAGGAACAGTCTATCAGTGGCTACAAGGCATGATGCACTTTGATGATCACTTTGAAGGTGACCCGGAAACTACAACTAATCCAGAATGTGGCAGCTAGACTGGTGACTGGGAGCGGCTGCCGAGACCACATAACACTGGTCTTGAAAGACCTACATTGGCTCCCAGTATGTTTCTTAGCACAATTCAAAGTGTTGGTGCTGACCTTTAAAGCCCTAAATGGCCTTGGTCCAGTATATCTGAAGGAGCGTCTCCACCCCCATCATTCTGCCCGAACACTGAGGTCCAGCTCCGAGGGCCTTCTGCCGGTTCCCTCACTGTGAGAAGCCAAGTTACAGGGAACCAGGCAGAAGGCCTTCTCAGTAGTGGCACCCGCCCAGTGGAATGCCCTCCCACCAGATGTCAAAGAAAACAGCAACTACCACACTTTTAGAAGACATCTGAAGGCAGCCCTCTTTAGGGAAGCTTTTAATGTTTGATGCATTACTGTATTTTAATATTTTGTTGGAAGCCGCCCAGAGTGGCTGGGGAAGCCCAGCCAGATGGGCGGGGTATAAATAATAAATGATGATGATGATGCTTTGCCTGCACACTTGGAGGCAGTAATGCTCCTGAATACCAGTTGCTGGAAGACGTGGGGCGGCTCTTGTGTTCGAGTCCTGCTTGTGGGTTTCCCATAGGCATCTGGTTGGCTACTGTGAGGACAGGATGCTGTTCCGGGTGGGCCTCTTTTGGCCTGATCCAGCAAAAAGCTGTCCTTATGCTCTGACATTGGACCCCTCCCCTCGGACTTTACGATGTTCATTTTGTCTATTCTTACAAATTATCCGGCGAGCAATATTCTGGGTTGTCTCAACCGGGCTCCTGCAAAGCTGTCGCCCGCATTCTGAGGCTGTGGCTAGTGCAAGTCGTAGATCAGACCAGCCGATTAAAATCCCATTTGTCCCCTGACTGAGAGCGGAGAGCATGGAACTCGTTAACCAAGAGAGAATTGCTCCAAAATTAATTTTAACTAAATGGATTCCAATCTGATTCTGCCTCAGGTGCAAGGAGGATGGAGGACGGCTGGGCATTGGGCTAATGGGGGTGGTGGTGGTGGTGGAACTGAGTTTTGTAGTAGACAAATGGCGCCCCATCCCTGAAGCTGCAGAAGTGACTAGCAGGCAAAAGGCTCTCTTCAGGAGCCAAAAATCTCTGGATGGCGCTACGGCCCTGGATCCTTTTCCCCTACCACAGTCCAAAGCTAGCAAAATATGCTTGCCCTATAAGCTTGCTCAAGGGTAGGGGCAGCTTGCAGGCTCCCTGGGGACTCCAGATACACCCTGCCTTCCTATGAAATGCAGGCAGCCCAGGCTGCTCTGCTCCTGGAACTTCCAAACAAACACTGTTGGAGGAGAAGGATGAGGACCAGCTGCAGAGGAAACAAATCTTAATAAATCCAATTGCTGGAATGAAGACGACATGAGTGAAGACTGTAATAAAAATTAAATGCATTTCCAGATAAAAAGACATAAAAATAATGTTGAAGACATAAATTTGTGAAAAGGAAAATATACATCTATATATCTATATCTATAGTGGGTGGATGGCTTCCTTTTTTTGGAGGGGCAGGAAGCAGGGTTTCCGAGATTAATAATATATTAAAGGGCTATAAAGTGAAATAACAGCTAAAAAATTGATAACATGCTACAATTGGATTGAAGGGAACCAGGAAGCATGTGTGGTGGTGATTTGGGGGTGGGGCTGGATTTAATTGGCAAGAGGCTCAAAGCGATGTTCTGGGGAAAGATGGGTTGGAAGGAGAGAGATATTCTATGGAAATGACAGCCCCAGAGGGTAGGAAGTGGAGTTTTTGTTTTAATGGATCTTTTGCTTCTACACGGCTCCTAGGATGTGAACTGGGGCATAACATCCTCAACAAGATGCTCTCAATTCTCACAGTCGGGCACAGCCATTAATGGTGTCTCCCCGGCCTACTCCCATGGTGATAATCCACACTTCCCTCTCTCTTGTTGCAGGTGAGTCTCACTTGGATTCCCTGTTAACCTGCCGGCATCAGCAGCTTCCTTGGGGGACTTTGAAGGGCAAAGTCTGAACTCAGCCTGATCTTCCAGGTTGGAAGGCAGAAAAGCTTCCTGGAGGAATTTCACTAGTTGTGGCTTCCTGCTTTCAACACCCCCCCCCCCCCAGTCTTCATGCTTTGTCGGTGCAGGCAAGCATTATGCTCAGCGGAGCAGAGCAACTACCCTATGAGAAAAGGTTACAATGCTCGGTGCTTGTTAGTATGGGGGAGGCAAACGGCTGCTGTGCATAATGTTCTGCACAGTGTGGAGAAAGTGGAAAGAGACAAGCTTTCCTCCCTCTCTCATAACACTTATCATAGAATTGTAGAGTTGGAAGGGACCCCAAGGGCCATTTAGTCTGAACCCAGGCAATGCGGGAATCACAGCTAAAGAATCCCTGGCAGGTGGCCATCCAACCTCTGCTTAAAAGCCTAGAGTCGACCACCTTCCAAGGGAGTCCGCTCCACTGTCAAATAGCTCTTACCCTCAGAAAGTGCCTCCTAATGTTTAGAACTCAAGGACATCCAAGAAGACAAGCACAAGGCAGCCACATGGACTGGGTTGCATGGCTGAGTCTTCCCCACCCAACAGACTTTCCTGACATAACTACCCGAAATATCTACATCAGAAAGCCACGTGGGGGTGCTGGTGAGATGTGTCGCAGTGTGCAGGTATGCAAAGGTTGCCAGGTGATGGTGGTGGTGGACAACTTTCCATTCTTGACTGAACATTGCACCGAAAACCAGAAAAGAGCCCCAACTTGTTTCCACCTGTTTTCAGCGACAAGTCAGAGAGGATGCCTTGAGTTTGTTCTCCTGAATGGAAGTCGTAGCTTTTAGCTGCGTTGCTTTTTATGACAGCCCCATTAATGCTAAACGAGTTTATTCTGATCAGTTTATCGCAATGGATTAATGGTAGGGAGATGAAAGCCTTCCTCTGTTTACAGCAGGCGCTCTTGAAAAATCGGATTTCCAGCCCTTCCAAGTGAATTGCTGAGGGCCCTCAGCATCACTGTCTTTGCATTGGGTGGACATCCAAAGGGTTCTCCGGAAGCATCTTCCAAGAGGTGGAAGGTATGACCCATTGGGAGATTCACATAAGGAAATAGAGCCCTGCAGCTGAATCAGGATTTTTAAGCAGAGATTTGATGGCCATCTGTCACTGATTCTTTAGCTGTGATTCCTGCACCGTAGGGGGTTGAAGAAGAAGAAGAAGAAGAGTTTGGATTTGATATCCCGCTTTATCACTACCCGAAGGAGTCTCAAAGTGGCTAACATTCTCCTTTCCCTTCCCCCCCCACAACAAGCACTCTGTGAGGTGAGTGAGGCTGAGAGACTTCAGAGAAGTGTGACTAGCCCAAGGTCACCCAGCAGCTGCATGTGGAGGAGCGGGGAATCGAACCCGGTTCACCAGATTACGAGTCCACCGCTCTTAACCACTACACCACACTGGTCCATACATGATCCTTTGGGGTCCCTCCCAATTCTACAATTCTATGATTCTATGAACCCTAAAAGGCAGCAAAGTGAAGTAGGCGGAGGAATTTGAGACAGCAGGAAAAGAACAATGCAAAGGAAAGCAGGATATGTATTTTTGTGTTTGCCAACTGGTATAATAAAATGAAGTATAACATTATAGCATTCTATTGATTGCTACATTTAAGATGGCAAAGGCCCACCCCATTTTCACGCTGGATTGCTAATGACCATTACCATCTCCTAAAATTCCTCAACAGAGTCTCCAGGTGGTGGTGGGGTGGTGGTGGTGGTGGATTAGCATCAGCCCATGAAAAGATCCTGCTTCAGGGCAAACACAGGCAAAACCATTAAGCACAGACATTATAGGGCTAATGGGACCAGGAACCTGATTGCATCTAAGGCACAGCTTTCTGGGTCTCTAGGTTCCTGACTTTAGAAGCATCCCCAATTGGGCAGTGGGGAGAGGGACAAGGAAGAGAGGAGTAAGAGTAAGAGTAAGGGAATAATAGGTTTCTGCTGACAATGTTGGATTGGGACCAAACAGGATCACCATTAAGCTGCAGAAGGTATCGAAATCTGGGCATTTCATGGGAAGCCAACAAGAATCTCTCAGGAGGTTGTATACATCTCCATCACCTTCTACCTGAGCATGGGCACAACTGCATGTCTCCAAAGATGGCAGGATAAGAACATAGGAAACTAACTTCTATTGAGCTGGATCCTTGGCCCATCTTAGTGTTGTCCACAATGACTGACAGTGGCTCTCAAGGGTTTCAAGCAGAGTCTATCCCAGCCCAACCTGGAGATGCCAGGCATTGAATTTGGAATCTTCTGCATGCAGGCAGATGCTCTACCGCTGAGCTAGTCTTCTCTTAGCCTCTCTGACCTCCTTTGGCAGCCTGGGAGCTGCTACAGATCTGCCCTCGCCCAGCCCAGGCTCCTTCTTCCCTCCCCAACAAAGAAGGCCCCTTCCTTCCCTTCAATCAATCCCCGCGCAGGCAGGAGCGGAGCAGGCACCCGGGCAGCCCTTCCTCTAATTAGAAAATCAATGCCTATTTGCTTGTGTGAAGCCTCCTGGCAAGGCTCCTGCTTACCATAATTTAATATTTCAATCAGCTCTCTCGCGCTCCCTTTTTGTTGATTTCTGTTTCACCAACGCCAGCAAAGTGGCCCAGCCCCTCTGCGATGGGGTGGAAATGCGTGCCGCTCCCTGAAGAGGATTTAATTATTCTCACAGTGGATTCCATCTCCGCCGGCCCCACGGCGCTTGCGTGTGCCAGCCTCCCTCCAGGGCAAATTCTCAAAGAGACCAACTTCAAAGGACGTTAAAGAGCCACCTCTGAGAACGGGGACGTGTCCGCCATGCACCGCACTCCCTTTTTGCACGTCCCCATTGGTGTGTGTGTGTGTGTCCATATCCTCCAGAGACACCTTCATTGCTTTATCTCGGACTGAGGCTGCGATATCCCAAGCATAAGTTATTTGGGAAGCCAAGTCTTAGAGAAATCCACAGAAAGTGCTGCAGAGTGTGATTCATGGAGCTTAAGAGATTCCACCCACCTCTTGATTCTCAGACCCCTCAAATACAAACTTACAAATGCATTTCTTAACATTCTCTGCCTTATCTGCCAGCAAAGGAATCCCCCATTGCCATCCCAGCTGTTTTAAGCAGAAGATCGACCTTAACAACAGATCAGTCTCTGCAAAGAACTTCTGTGTGGCTTTTTTTTTGCCTAAGGGTGGAGGCAGATCTGGGGAACAGCTGGGTTTTTATATTTTAAAAGCTATTCAGCTCCTTCGGAAGGCGATGGACTCTCCTTCGCTGGAGGTTTGTAAGCTGCAGTTGGGTGGCCATCTGTCAGGGGTTCTTCAGATGTGATTCCTGCATTGCTGGGGGGTTGGAATGGATGGACCTTGAGGGTCTCTTCTAACTCTACAGATAGATGATTCTGTGAAAATGGAAGGCTCAACCACTGTGTGTTTCTTTTTCCAACCAGTCTTTGGGGCAACCTGAAACCTGCATGTCACTTAGCGGAGGGCTTGGGTCCTGCTTGTGGGTTTCCCAGAAGAGGCATTGGGTCAGCCACTGTGGGTACAGGATGCCACTGGCTTGATCCAGCAGAGTCTTTCTATGTTCTTATACTGAATATACTGCCTTGGCCCATCTAAGTGAGTACTATTCTCTACATGGATTGGGACCTTCTGCATGCAAAGCTGCAGCCCTTCCTGAGAGCAAGAAGCAGCAACACAATAGTAATAATAATAATAATAATAATAATAATAATAATAATAATAACAACAACAACAATAATAATTTATTTATACCCTGCCCATCTGGCTGGGTTTCCCCAGCCACTCTGGGCGGCTTCCAACAGAATATTAAAATACAATAGTCTATTCAACATTAAAAGCTTCCCTAAACTGGGCTGCCTTCAGATGTCTTCTAAAAGTTTGGTAGTTATTTTTCTCTTTGACATCTGGTGGGAGGGCGTTCCACAGGGAGGGTGCCACTACCGAGAAGACCCTCTGCCTGGTTCCCTGTAACTTGGCTTCTCGCAGTGAGGGAACCGCCAGAAGGCCCTCGGTGCTGGATCTCAGTGTCCGGGCAGAACGATGGGGGTGGAGATGCTCCTTCAGGTATACTGGACCAAGGCCGTTTAGGGCTTTAAAGATCAGCACCAACACTTTGAATTGTGCTCGGAAACATATGGGGAGCCAGTGGAGATCTTTCAAGACCAGTGTTATGTGGTTCCGGCGGCCACTCCCAGTCACCAGTCTAGCTGCCGCATTCTGGATTAGTTGTAGTTTCTGGGTCACCTTCAAAGGTAGCCCCACATAGAGCGCATTGCAGTAGTCCAAGCGAGAGATATCTAGAGCATGCACCACTCTGGCGAGACAGTCCGCGGGCAGGTAGGGTCTCAGCCTGCGTACACAATGTGAACACCACAAGTATAAAATGCAATATCCTTGGCATTCAAGGTTTTGCATGCAGGTTTCTCACTGGGGCATCTGGTCGGCCACTGTGAGAACAGGATGCTGGACTAGATGGGCCATTGGCTTGATCCAGCTGGCTCTTCTTGTGTTCTTACATATAATGAATTGCAGTAGATCCTCATGACAATATCCCTCTGTGGGTTGCTTTTTAATAGACCAGCATGGCATTAAAAAAAATGCACTAAAAGTTATCCTTAAACTTCCAGGCTGTTGCAATAAGAAGGGGCCACTCTGCCCCTAAATCTCCCCCCCCCCGGAAAGAATAGGACTTGCAGTCAGCCTCCATAAGTTGCTTGAGCCCTAACACAGCTGATGGCTTTTAATACTCTTGCATTTCCTACAAAATTATGCATCTGTTGTCCTTCTAAGAGTGCCTGCCACCCATTTGATGTACAGTATTGTCTTCCATGGCTAATCTTGCATCCAAGGAAGCAGAGGGCAAGGGGAAGGAGGGGGAGCTGCTCCTGCAAAGGCCAGAGCCACTATCAAGGGGCTTCTTTCAAGCGCATCCGTCATGTTGGACAAAAGCCCTGGAAGCTCTCCTGCTCTGTGCCCATTCCTGGCAGGAGTCAAGCTACACAGCCAGGGCTACTGGGAGCCAGCGATAAGCGCTCCCCATTAGCCAGCCTTAGCCTGCTCACCTCTCCTTCGCCACGGGGAGCCAGCGAGTCATTTATAAATGCACAGAACAAAGACTGCCCTTCCGGCAGGGATGAGGCCTTTCACCTCCAGGTCTAGTCTTTCACATCTTGCTTGGCTGGAAGCTTCTCCCAGGGCAGCATGTTGTCATTCACAGGTCAGACCACAGGCCGTGTGTGTGTGTGCATGTGTGTGTGTAAGGACATCATGCTAGGAGCCATTCTCAAAGCAACTTCTCCAGAGGAGCAGCTCTACACATCTGTGGTGTTAATGGAGAAATCTGAAGGCTCCCTTGGACAAAAAAAAGGGACACCAGCCAGGAATACCAGAGCAAAACAGCAGCCAGTAGGCTTGGTCTTTATTGAAGACTGTCATGACAGGATTCCCACCTGCCACAAGGTGGAACAAGATGGAAGCCCCAAACAAAAGAGCACCCAAACTTTTATTAGCTGCTAATCCCCATGTTACACCCCCCCCAAACTACATCACTCATACATCATGAAAGGGGAGGTCTGGTGGCAGTAATCTGAGCATCCTGAACCCTGCCCTATGGTTCCCCTTGCCCTCAACCAAACACCCATGAAGTCTAACAAAAAAGATACTTACATTTCCCTGTTTCCCAGCCAAGTTAATCACACCCTTTTGTCTTCATCTGGGTTTGTTATTTCTGGAATGGCTACCTGTCTGGCACTCAGGTATCAGGATGCCAGGAATTATCACTCAGGCAGAGGGGCTGCTGAGTAGCTGAGCTCACATGTCTATATGAATTTCTGTAGTTTTCCCAGTGAGCCATTACATAGAGACACTTATCAATCAATTGTTACATTTGGTATCGTGCAGCAAAGGCCCTTTGAATAGATAGGAAGAAACTGTGATGAAGTGTTTTGTGGGGACAAATCACAAAAGTCACAAAAGTGATTGTGCTGGTTTTGGTAGTGGGCTGCATGTGCATGATATCTGCTGGAGGGGCAACCCCCCCCCCAACCTATACATAAATTCCTGCAACAGTGGCAGCAAAAACAACCAGGCATCCTGGAGTACTTTACAGGTTATCAAATGGATTGGGGCAAGAAGAACTCTGGTTTGACACATGCAGATGGACACTCTGATGCCACCAGCATCTTCTGAGCAGCTTAGGAGAAAGAGAGAAAGCCCACTCCTCCATAATTCAATCACTGCTCCTCACCCCCTGCATCAGGCAGGCCCTCTCCAGCCACCCTATGGTTGGAGAGGGAAGGAGAAACAGCAAGGACCCTTTCCATTTTTTATTGCAAAGGCCACCTTCCGCTTTTCAATCAACATCCAAATAAATCCAAAACAGAGAAGACCCACTTCCGCAAGACCAACAGGGAATACTTCAAAAGGTGCAGCACAAGGAAGAGCCCTGTAGCAGATGAAGGCCAGCATTCTGTTCTCTCCATGGCCTATCACAGGAATAGGCAAACTTGGCCCTCCAGATGTGTTGGGACTACAACTCCCATCATCCCTGATGACTGGTCCTGTTGGCTAGGGATGATGGGAGTTGTAGTCCCAAAACATCTGGAGGGCCAAGTTTGCCTATGCCTGGCCTATCAGATGCTTCTTCTAGGAAACCCTCAAGCAAGATCTGAGTACAAGATCACTTCCCCCTCCTGCAGTTTCCAGAAACTGGTATTCAGTAGTGTTTACTGCCTCCAACTGCAGAGGCAGAGCATAGCTACCCAGGCTAGCAGCCATTGATAGCAGGAGGAACTACTTGCATGGAGAAGGCAGCTATCTATCCCTTTTCAAGATACTTGATCTGCTCTATCCTTTCCTTAAACCCCATGCCCTCCAGATGTTTGGGCAACAGATAGGTATGGGTGAATTGGCTAGTTCTGGCTTGTCTAAGTTTTGTTCCATTCCCACATCTATCTATCTATCTATCTATCTATCTATCTATCTATCTATTGGAAATCCTCCAGAAAATCCTCCTGCCCATCAGTATGCCATAATAATACACACATTTTGTATGCAATTTTGCCTGGATTTTTGCAAGCCTGCCTAGATTTTTGCAAGCCATTTGTGAATTTCTGTAATATTTTCACAAATATATGTACTTCATGCGCCCTTTCCCCACAATATATGCATTTTTCTGGGCATTGCTTATTGCTGTTGCAGAACTGCAGTGCTGAATTCAAAGATGTGCAAAGTTTGAAGGAAAGCTGTGTGTCCGATGGAAGTTTTTGTTCGAAGCATCTGGAGGGAACCAGGTG